ACCAGAATGACAGGCACTCCAAGCATGAAACTACTATTACAGATTACCATCTTCAGTGCAGTTGCTTAGTTCACAGGTATCAGTACATATAGTTAGTCAAGGTGAGAATCTTTCCAATTAACTGCTAGATTCAAAAATCTTCTAGAGATTCTCAGGATCATTACCTTGCCCATCTTCTACACATAACTGTATAGCTTGACATTGTCATGTTTCCTAGCTCTTCTCCTTTCCCTCTTTTGATTAGTTAGTCCTCGACAAAAGACATTTATCCTGTTTTATAGCTGAATAATACTCCATTGTGTAAAACTACCACATCTTCTTTATCCATTCCTTAGTTGATGGGCATCTGAGTTGTTTCCAGGATTTAGCTATGGCAAATTGCACTGTCATAAACACGGGTACACATATACAGCTATAGTATGAGGTTTTCATTTCTTCTAGAAAAATGCCCAGGAAGGGAATAGCTAGATTGAATGGGATCTCTAATCCTAGCTTTTTAACGAATCTCCACACTGATTTCCATAGTGGTTGTACCAGTCTTTACTCCCACCAACAGCAGAAAAGGTTCCTTTTTCTCCACAACTACTCCAATATTTGTTATTGGATGACTTCTTGAAGTTAGCCCATTTTTTCTGGGGTGAGATGGAATCTCAGTGTTGTTTTAATTTGCATTTCTTGAGTGACCAATGATGTGGAACATTTTTTCATGTATTTACTTGCAATTTGTATTTCTTCCTCTGAGAAGTAAGTATTCATCTCAGATGCCCATTTTTGGATTGGGTGTTTGAATTTGTGGGGCCTGATTTTTTAATTCTTTATATGATCTAAATAGAAGGCCTTTGTTAGAGGGACAGTCAGCTATAATTTTTCCCAGTTTGTAGGTTTACTTTTCACTCTGTTGGAGATTAGTTTTGAAATACAAATACTTTTCAATAAGATGAGATCCCAGTTGTTAATTCTTTGAATTATTTTTCATGCAATTTGGTTTTTGTTCATGAACTCTCTACTTACCTCTGTGTCTTTAAGACTTATATCTACATTTTCCTCCAGAAGATTTAGTGTTTCTGTTTTAATATTTAAATCTTTGATCCATTTTGACTGTAGCTTTGTACATGGAAATAGACATGAGTCTAAATTTAGCCTTCAGCATGTGGAAAGCCAGTTTTTCCAGCATCATTTATTAACGAGGCTATCTTTCTTCCAGTGAACATATTTATCCTCTTTATCAAAGATACAGTAGCTTAATGTGTTTGCAGTTGTGTATGCATCTTCTAATCTGTTCCATTTATCCTCATATCTGTCTCTATGCTATTACCATGCTGATTTTATCACAGTAGCTTTTATAGTATAATTTCAGGTCAGGGATTATGCTACCTCCTGCCTTTCCTTTGTTTTCCAGGATTGCTTTTGCTATTCTGCATCTCTTCAGATGAATAACTATAATTAGTTATAAACTTGGTTAATAAATAATGAGCACTTTCTAGATGTCAGGTACTGTCATTATCACTTTACATATATTGCCTATTTAATCCTTGCAATGACTCTATAAAAATGTAAATATTTCTTATGATTTAGATCCAGAATATCCCCCCAAACCCTTCTGTGTTTGAGGTAGAACTTTTGAGATGATTGGATTAGAGGGACTCTCTAGCTGACCTTGGAGGTGAAGGTTGGTTGGTGTGGGCCATGAGGCACATGACCTGGAATGGTTTGTATCCCTCTCTGGTACCTCCCTTCTTTCACTCTGCTTCCAACTGCTTTGCGATAACCATCTTTCTTCCAGAACCATCTACCATGACCCTCCTGCTTCAGAGCCAGCTATAAAAACTACGAGGCCAAATAAACCTCTCTTCTTTTAAGTCTATGAGTCGGACATTCTGTACCAGTTGTGAGAAAGTAAATAAGACAGTATTATTGTTATTATTTTATTAATGAGAAAACAGGTTTAGCAAGATTTAAGCAGCAAGGATTGAATCGAGGTTGGTCTTGATTATTAAATCAAGCCATTTACATTATAAAAACAGCCATTTCTAGGATTCTAGTTATTTATAAAAGCAGTTCTTCATGTAGTTCTCCACTTGAATCAAGCTTTATTGTCCTGTCTCTGGGAAATACACAGACTTTTTTTCTTAATTTGACCACGTAACTTATGTATTTGTTTATATCTCTAATAGTAGAAGTAATATATGTTATATCCATAAACATTTTATTTAAATAAATTTAACTGTAATGATAGTTGAAAGTAAGTCTGGGAAAAATTACTGTAACTTTGAATTCACATAGTGAATGCTATTTGTTGACCAAATACCTGTTCCCTTTTTTACATTGTATTTATTGACTTAATCTTTAAACTTAATTTTCTCCTATTCCCCTTTTAGGGTCAACCAGGTGACCAAGGATCCCAGGGACCATCTGGCCCTCCAGGACCAGAGGTAAAATATTGATAGATAACAAATTTCAAATCAAGATGACGGGACTTAAAGTTGACTCGTAAAGCATGTTTAAGGTAGTAGGTTAAGAAAGACTCTTCTGCTCGCTATCATGGTTTGCATCTGTAATCCCTAATCCTTGGGAGGCTGCAGTGGAGGGATCACAGGCTTGAGCACACACTGCAGATCTTGTCCCAAAACAAAAAAAAGAGGATGGGGATGTAGCTCAGTGGTAGTACAGCTGTCTACCATACATAAGGACCCGGGTTCAATCTCCAGTACCTCATAGTGTAAATAAAAAGGAAAGATTTTCTTTGAAGTTATTCATATAAATAGTTCAGAGTAAATTTTCTCTGTTGTGTTGGGAAGCATGCAACTATGATCAGTGGTACTAAGGAAATAGAAAGTTGAGGATCCCATATCTCAAGTGCTTAGGTCAGAGATGTTTTGTAATTCATTTTCAGAGTTTAGAATATTCACATAATCATAATGCAATATCTTGGGCATGGGGACCATATCTAACATGAAGCTTATTTCTTTTTCATCTTTGTATCATACATATAGCCTAAATGTAACTTCCTGCAACACTTTTAGTGCAGCTGCATTTTGAATGTGACTTGTCATAGGAATCAGGTGTAGATTTTCTACTTGTACTGTCATGCCAACTCTCAAAAAATTTTGGATTTTGGAACATTTCATATTTTAGATTTTTAGACAAAGAGTGTTAAGCCTGTAATAGCTACAATTTCATCCTCATGAGATCATTACTAATTGATTTGTTCTCCTAAACAACTATTAATAACACATGTTTAGGGATTGAACTTAAATTCTGGGATATAAATTATACTGACATATTAATACAAAATGCTTTTAGTTCCTGTTATGTCTGTATAACATTTGGACTTTATATTATAAAACAAATAGAATTAGCTCTTCAGTGCGTATATCAAAGTTATTTCTATAGTACTAAAAATCTTGAGCGTAGCGTTATGCTTGATATAGAGCAGCTTCTTTTCATAAGCTTCTGAGGTGAAATATTTGCCTTATTTTGAATCACATTATGAATCAAAGATATACTGTGTGAGCAAAAGCTTCTGAGGCTCAGCCTAGTGCTAGAAACACACACCAAAAATGTATGTATGTGTTTATATGCACACTCACACATATAAATGCGCACACACATCTTGTTCAGAGCCTACATGCAGGAGCAAAGCTGAGTACATGAATTTAACTTCAGAACAAATAAATCAGAAGAATAACATCGTGGCAGTGGCAGAGAAGTAGGAGGCTATGCTAGGGAGCTTTTTCCTCTCCTTGTGAAATACAAGACCCACTTCTTACCTCACAGTTTTCTTTCAGCAGCATCTTATTTCTTTAGGAAATGATTATCCCTATTTTTATAATCTAAAAACATTCCAGAGTGATGGTTCAAAAATATTTTTGAAAACTGCATTGTACTTAATTTCATTGATAGAGAAGTAATAGGATGTAAAACTTGTATATTAACATTATCATTCTAAGTAGGAAATTGTTTTCAGCAATTAAAACTTCAGATTAATGAAAATTTATCTCTCTATAAGAGGCTTCATTCTTTTAATTACTTTAATGAACTTTTCTGCAATAAATAATATTTGTCTTCTCATACTGAGTTGCGGAATCTAATTTAACTTTCATTATAATCTAAAGATTGTAATTATGACTGTGAATGTTATGCCTGCAATTATGAGTAATCAACCCCCTCGGAAGGGCTGATTAGCATTCTGGTGCTTGATCGTTTTCTTCTTTCTCTTAAAGGATGTACAGTCCACATTTTTAGTTACTGTTTGTTCTTCTAGACAAGTTTCTTTGCTCTGTTTCCCTTTAAATTTTGTGATTTGCCCTCTATAGTCAACACATGTCCTCATGGTCTCCGATGTCTGCACCACGACTAAAAGGCCCTGAGCCCCAGTCTTGGAAGACTATATTTATTCTTCCTTTTCACCAGGATTAAATTTTTTTCATAGAACCAAAGACGTGACCGGTCCTCACACTCTCATGATTTCATACAAGATTGTTTGATAAAATGAGGCTTAATCCAAAGACCATAACTTCTAGCTCATAAAAATATAATATGTTGGCAATGTTTTTATCTCAATTTTCTGAACCACAAACCTTTAATAGAATTACAGAATCAACCATTTAAAATAGTATGTTTATTAGTAAATCCAAACCAAAATGCTTCTACCTATTTGTCAGATTAATTATCTTATATTCAGGATCTCTTAAGTTAGATGATCCAAATGAGACTCTTAAGTAGACTAAGCAAAGAGTCTACTAATTAAGAGATGAGGATTATAGAGATTATTATACTTTATAAGATATACATGTGATACATCTCAGAAGATTATAAAGGAAGAGAAAGATAGAGGTAATAAGGAAACAAATTATCTTACTTAGAAGGATAATGTTATATGGCAGAGAATTAATGATGAGTTTTTCTGAGAACAGTGAAAGACAGCTTCAAGGGGAATTAGGAATATAACTCACAACACTTAACTATTCAGGGCAGCTTGTTAAATATAAGTGAGAGAGGAGTTAAAACAAGTATGATATGTTTGCTTGAATAATATAGATCACCATCTAAAATATAAAACAAAGTAAAAAGGAGAGGCATTTTGAAATAATCCCTTAGATTCTTAGCTGTTAAGACTGAAATGCTTATATTATATACAAAAATTAATCTATTAAATATATAAAAACCATAAATCCAAAGTTTAGATGAGAAGTCGACTAGAGCTCTTTATTTAAACTGTCATCCACATAGATAGAGCAATTGTAGCAGATGAAAGCATTTAAGGATAATTTATGACACATGGTTTATAGTATTACACTTGATACCTCCAGAACACTACATTCTTTTTCTGCAGTGTAATTAAGTTTTAAGTTAATGAAAGGGCAATAAAATAAATCTTGATAATTGAAAAACATATTACTAAGCAACAGTCTGAAAAAGAAAAAAAAATCACTCTGGAAATTAGAAAAATTTTAGAACCAAGTTGATTCAAAACAAATTGCTATAAAAACAGCAGTTAGAGGAACATTTATAGTCAAATTCATACAAATATATTTGTCTCAAAAGCAAGGAAGATTTTTTAACTGAGTTATGTAATGTATACTGTGGGAATTTGTTTCAAAAAGATTAAAAGAGGTCAAATAAAATAGAATCCTTATGTACAAGTGGAAAACTGTATCCCCTAAATAAGAGAAATGTATAGGAAAAGAGAGCCTGAGAAATTCTATGAAAAAACTAAGGAGTGCCCAGGGATCTCTGAAATGCGTTCTGAGTTGTACCAAGGTCAAAACTTGAAGAACTTTTGCCTAAATAGAGTCATTGAAGCCCTGTACATTTTGTAGGAAATGGACTGCAGATTTAAACTCAAATTTCCTACTGTACAAAGCAATGAAATATGATGTTACATGATTCTCCTCTCCCTGGGGTAAAAACATTCATTGTTCAAAAGGAGAAGAGAACAAGCCAGGCTGCCCCTGGGGTGCGCTGAACAGCGACGGAGTGAGGGAGCGAGGCAGCACACACCTTTAATCCCAGCACTAGGGAGGCAGAGATCAGGAGGATCATGATGAGTCTGAGCTGTGGGCTTTGTAATGAGACCCTGCACAAAAAAAGAAGAAGAAGAAGAGAATCCTGTCACATTAAGGTTCTGTCATTTCCACTTTTCAGTATAGACTGACTTCATAGTTCCAAAGTGTGATTCACTATGAGTAATTGAGTAGTTCTATTAGGGACCAAAATAATAAGATAGACTTAGGTACATAATTCCATGACAACCTTTGTTAATCATTAGGCAATAAAGTATTTAACCTAAAGTTATTTTAAAGTTAATATATCCTGAATGAAAATTGAGGCATTAGCTCAATTATTGGGAGCAAAATAAATTCTCTTGGCCTCCCTTTTTATCCATTAAATGGAAATGTTAATAGTACCAATCTCATGAAATTGTTGCACTATGCATACTAAAGCATGTAAAAATGTTTTAGTGTCTAGTCAATAGGTATTCACTGTGGTCACCACCTCCATCACCATAACAGACAGAAGAAACAGTATAGACCCAAGACAAAACAAAATACACAAACAAAACCAAGCCTGGCTGGTTCAAGATCAAAGTAACTTGAATAAATAAAAAGTGAACTATACAGTGAAATTAGAAAAGCATAGGGAAGATGTAGGCCTTTACAGAAGATAAAATTTAGTAGGGATTTTGTTCCAAGCCTAGGAGGAACCCATCAGAGACTTTAATCATGCCTGTCTGTGATCTTATCTATTTATGCTTTTAGACAGTTACTTTAGCTATCATGTGGACACAAGAAAATTAGAAGAAAGTGCTAGAAACATGGAGATGATATTAGGAGATTATTTTTTTGTGTCTAGGTATCTTGATATCTTGCAGTATGTTGTGGAAGTAGAGAAAGAATTTTCTGGGTAAATGCAGCTTAATTTTGCAAAAGTGAAGTGATGTCAGTTATAAAATTGTGATTTCGCAGCCTTTGCTGGTTATCATTATCACCTGGAAAACTTAGGATACAGATGCCCCAGCCAGTTCCACTAGGATATCCTGTGGGTGCTCCATGGATTATAAACAGCAACGATAAACAAAACAAAACAAAATAAACCACATTTTATCTTTTTGTCCTTAATGGTGAAGATCCTTTTCCAACAGAATGAATATGTTATCTAACCAGTCAGATATGACATTACAGAGCAATTCTGCCCTCTCTGTTGGGAAATAGTTGTCCAATTCTGTGGTTAGTAACCTTAGAAGATTATTACTGCTGCTTACTGCAGTGCAGCATGGCACAAAGATGGCATTCTATAAATGTTTTAAATATAAAGTAACAAAAGAAAGCCACTAATAAGCTTTGTTATGGAATTTTCCCAGTTAACATTTAATTTGCACAAGAGCTGGAACAGCCAAGGAGGCCAACTGAACAACCTTTTGAAGTACAGG